GACAATAAATAGCACATACAGGGACAATAAGTAGCAACACTGAAAAGAAATAGCACTCACAGTGACAATAAAAACCAATACACAGTGACAATAAATTGCAATACAATTTTTCCGTTTGGGAGTTAGGGAATACGAACACCATCCTTTCGTCTCCCAAACGAGGATCACCTCTCTACCCCTTTAGAACGTTCACACCAGGAACTTAAGTGCGAAACCGCAAGGGAAGTAATTAATGAATACTTCCCCTGGGTGCAGGGACGTATTAGCCGCAAGGCATTTGCCTTGGGCAGTATTTTCCAGGGGGCGGCAAAAAAAAGCCGCCCCCAAATGCCCAGCGCAAATGTCTTTTTAGCCTCGCGGCTAACTAAAAATCCGACGTTATATTCCAGCTCCCAGCATCACTCTGCGGTGCGTGAGGAAGCTGAGCAGAGAGCTCACTAATCAGTGCTCCCTTGCCATCTCTACTCAGCTCCCTCGCGCGCCGCAGAGTGATGCCGGGAGCCGGAATATGATGTCATATTCTGGCTCCCGGCATCACTCTGCGGTGCGCAACGGAGCTGAGCAGAGAGCTCACTAATCAGCGCTCCCTCGCCAGCGCCGCCCAACCTCCCGCCCAGCAGTCTGAGTTTTGTCATGCCTAGGGCAGCACAAAACCAGGATACACCACTGCCTGGGTGGCCGCCATTTCGTATAACCAAATGCATGTGGTTGACAAAGGAGTGGCGGCCATTTTGTCTCCCAAACGTGGGCAGCAGCTCTTGGTCGTCGAGTGCCTGGAACTCTTTTCGACTAGGCACTCGCATGAACCCCGGTAAAGATTAGACCGCTGCCCATGCTACTTCCCGACCAACTATGTGACCGACATTCAGGAAATGGGAACTACCGAACAGGGGAGCATTTGTACCCCGTAATTAAGAGAATCCCTTGCATGGCATTCGCACAGGAACCTCCAGACAGAGACTGACTGGGATACCTAGAACTGTTCCGGGCTAGCACAGTGACGTATCTTACACAAGGCAAACAATGCATTTGCATTGAGCGGCACTTTGCAGGGGGCTGCAAAAAAAGCCGCCCCCAAACGCCTGGGGGCTCAAGAGATGGCCGGGTGGCCACCTTTGAGCCCCCCCGAGGCGGGCTGTGGCAAGGGAGCTTGCTCACCTGAGCTCTTCTTGCTCAGCTCCCTCGTGCGCCGCTTAATGAAGCCGGGAGCCGGAATATGACGTCACTCCGGCTCCCGACATCACTAAGCGTGGCGAGGGAGCTGAGCAGGAAGTTTAAAGCTCCCTCTCCGCCTACTCTGCTTGTCAGTCCCCTGCCTGCCCGCACAACAGCCTAACTGGACCGAAGGTAAGTAATCCTGGGTGGATTTAAAATAAAATAAAAAAAATAATAATAATGTGTGAGTGTTGGGGGCAATGTGTGTCTGTGAGTGAGTGTGTGTGTGTGTCTGTCTGTGAGTGTCTGTCAGTGAGTGTGTGTGTGTGTCTGTCTGAGTGTGTTCGTCTGTCACTGAGTGTGTGCGTCTGTGTGTGTGTGTCTGTAAGTTGGTGTGTGTGTGTGTGTAAGTGTGTATCTGTGAGTGAATATGTGTGTGTCGGTCAGTGAGTGCGTGCGTCTGTTAGAGTGTGTGTCTGTCAGTGAGTGTGAGTCTGTCAGTGTGTGTCTGAGTAATGTGTCTATCACTGTCTTAAATCAGTGAGTGTGTGTGTATGTGTGTACATCATTGTTTGTCAGTGTATATGAGAGTGTGTGTCTCTCAATGAGTGTATGCATCTATCAGTCACAGTGACAATAAATAGCACACCCAGTGACAGTAAATAGCAATACACAGTGACAAGAAATACCAATAAATAGTGTCAATAAATAGCATACAGTGAAAATAAGTGTCAATACTCAGTGTCAATAAATAGCAACACTGACAATAAATACCATACTCAGTAACGATAAATAGCAATACACAGTGATAATAAGTAGCACACGCAATGACAGTAAAAAGCAATAGAAAGGAGCAATAAATAGCACATACAGTGACAATAAATAGAAAAAACAATGACAGTAAATACCAATACAACATGTAATAATGTAATAAATAGTAATACACAGTGACAATAAATAGCACACTCAATGACAATAAGTAACAATTCACAATGGGAATAAATAGCAACACAAAACAATAAATAGCACACCCAGTGACAAAAAATAGAAATACACAGTGGCAATAGATATCACTCACGTTAACAATAAGTAGCACACACAGTGACAGTAAATAGCAAAGCACTATCACATTAAATAGCAATACACAGTGATATTAAAAAGCAATTCACAGTGACAATAAGTAACAAACACAGTGATGAATAAATAGCAATACACAGTGACAGTAAATAGCACACCCAGTGACAATAGTTAGCAATACACAGTGACAATAGTTAGCAAACAAAGTGATGATAAATAGCAATACACAGTGACGATAGTTAGTGGCAATAAATAAAACACACAGTTAAAATAAAAAGCAATTCACTGACATTAACTAGCAATACACAGTAACAATAAATAGCACACACAGTCACAATACACATCATAAACTGTGACAATAAATAGCAACACAGTGACAATTATTATCAATATGCAATGGCAATAAATAGCAATACACAGTGACAATAAAGAGCACACAGAGTAATGACAAATAGCACCCACAATGACAATAAGCATCAAATACAGTGACAATAAGTAGCAATACACAGTGATATTAAAAAGCAATTCACAGCGACAGTAAGTAGCAAACACAGTGACAATAAATAGGAATACACAGTGACAGTAAATAGCACACCCAGTGACAATAGTTAGCAATACACAGTGACAATAAGTAGCAAACAAAGTGATGATAAATAGCAATACACAGTGACGATAGTTAGTGGCAATAAATAAAACACACAGTTAAAATAAAAAGCAATTCACTGACATTAACTAGCAATACACAGTAACAATAAATAGCACACACAGTCACAATACACATCATAAACTGTGACAATAAATAGCAACACAGTGACAATAAGTAGCAAACAAAGTGACAATAAATATCACACAGAATGATGGTAAATAGCAACACAGTGACAATACTTAGTAGTCACAGTGACAATAAATAGCACACACAGTGACAGTAAATATCAATACACATTTACCATAAATATCTACACAGTGACAATTGATATCAATACACAGTGACAATAAACATTGTTCGCCTAGCTGGTTGGGAAGTGGGACAGACAGCGGTACAATCTTTGCCCGGGTTTGCAGGATCACATAGCCGAAAAGAGTTCCAGGCATTCACTGGAGCACATGCGTTCGGTTATACGCATGGCGACCACCCAGGGAAAGCACTTGATTTTATTGCCTGTTTGTGGTTAACATCCATGAGTGGTTGGTGTTCAGGGAGCACACATAATCCATTTGGGAAACGAACAAGGGGGGTACGGACAACTGAACAAAAAGGGAATGAGTCTGCTACATCAGCTCATGTAAAAATTGTTAATTTGAACATCACACATCCTACCTGTCACCGTGACATCCAGACAATGTCACCCCAGAAGTGCCCAACAGGGGATTTGAACCGGAGGCCTTGCATGGGGCACTGCATACATACTGGTACTTGTGATTAAAGCCTCAGTTGACTCCCAGAACTGTTTCGTCCGGTTACTGGGGGATTTGGGATATTGCCTTCATTCATTGCTTTTCTTGGATTACTTTATTCTACCAGCGGAGATATTAGGAATTAATATTGCATCTCCGCTACAGAGAGTCCTGGTCAGGACTAGTGCTCTGCTACAGCCATGTAATCACCCTTTAGGTGATATGACCCTAGTGTGTACGTGACGGACTGCCGTCACTGAGTACCATGCCAACTTGCTTGCCCATATTGTTTCAGATCCTCATGTCAGGGATCTCCGTATCTAAGAGGTAATGTATTGGTTGTGGGGTCCCCTTGTTCGCAAATTATGTTTGGGTTGGATTGGAAGATTGTGCTTGTCCTATTCTGCATATGATATTGAAACACAAGGGGTTGTTTGTTCCTGAATGCTGATGAGCATTAACATGTCAAAGGATTCCCTATTTAAGAGGCAAAGCAGGCTTCCAGGCCACTTAGGTGTGACTTCTCACACCTTACCGAATAGCTCTGTTGGAGTCCCTAGTTTCAAAGCGTAATTCTGGTTGTAAGCTCTGTCTTTTCATACAATCTATAAACCCCTTTTGTAATGTTAACATGTGGAGGTTTGGAACTATTGTAGACTTTTCAGGACCTGAGAGAGAACTTGATTATCTCCCAGACACAGCGACGCTGGGGCAGGCTTATGTTTTGGGTTACTATGAATGGAGATCCACTGCGGGGATCTGTGTATAAAAAGCCGGTTTTCAATAAAGATTGTCAGAGTTTGTACCTCCAGAACTGTCTCGTCTGGTTACTGGAGGGAAGGAAGATTTAACCCCTGTGTCTGCTGTTCCAGTTTGCAGGGGATGCAGCGGGGAAAGTCATTGTAAGGACTAAGAGCTAGTTTCCCCGTCCATTTCATGGTTCCTACATACACTGCTCAAAAAAATAAAGGGAACACTTAAACAACACAATGTAACTCCAAGTCAATCACACTTCTGTGAAATCAAACTGTCCACTTAGGAAGCAACACTGAGTGACAATCAATTTCACATGCTGTTGTGAAAATGGGATAGACAACAGGTGGAAATTATAGGCAATTAGCAAGACACCCCCCAATAAAGGAGTGGTTCTGCAGGTGGTGACCACAGACCGCTTCCTGGCTGATGTTTTGGTCACTTTGAATGCTGGCGGTGCTTTCACTCTAGTGGTAGCCTGAGACAGAGTCTACAACCCACACAAGTGGCTCAGGTAGTGCAGCTCATCCAGGATGGCACATCGATGCGAGCTGTGGCAAGAAGGTTTGCTGTGTCTGTCAGCGTAGTGTCCAGAGCATGGAGGCGCTACCAGGAGACAGGCCAGTACATCAGGAGACGTGGAGGAGGTCGTAGGAGGGCAACAACCCAGCAGCAGGGCCGCTACCTCCGCCTTTGTGCAAGGAGGAACAGGAGGAGCACTGCCAAAGCCCTGCAAAATGACCTCCAGCAGGCCACAAATGTGCATGTGTCTGCTCAAACGGTCAGAAACCGACTCCATGAGGGTGGTATGAGGGCCCGACGTCAACAGGTGGGGGTTGTGCTTACAGCCCAACACCGTGCAGGATGTTTGGCATTTGCCAGAGGACACTAAGATTGCCAAATTCGCCACTGGTGCCCTGTGCTCCTCACAGATGAAAGCAGGTTCACACTGAGCACATGTGAAAGAGTCTGGAGACGCCGTGGAGAACGTTCTGCTGCCTGCATCATCCTCTAGCATGACCGGTTTGGCAGTGGGTCAGTAATGGTGTGGGGTGGCATTTCTTTGGGGCCGCACAGCCCTCCATGTGCTCGCCAGAGGTAGCCTGACTGCTCTTAGGTGCCGAGATGAGATCCTCAGACCCCTTGTGAGACCATATGCTGGTGCGGTTGGCCCTGGGTTCCTCCTAATGCAAGACAATGCTAGACCTCATGTGGCTGGAGTGTGTCAGCAGTTCCTGCAAGACGAAGGCATTGATGCTATGGACTGGCCCGCCCGTTCCCCAGACCTGAATCCAATTGAGCACATCTGGGACATCATGGCTCACTCCATTCACCAACGTCACTTTGCACCACAGACTGTCCAGGAGTTGGCAGATGCTTTAGTCAAGGTCTGAGAGGAGATCCCTCAGGAGACCATCCGCCACCTCATCAGGAGCATGCACAGGCGTTGTAGGGAGGTCATACAGGCACGTGGAGGCCACGCACACTACTGAGCCTCATTTTGACTTGTTTTAAGGACATTACATCAAAGTTGGATCAGCCTGTAGTGTTTTTCCACTTTAATTTTGAGTGTGACTCCAAATCCAGACCTCCATGGGTTGAAAAATTTGATTTCCATTTTTAACTTTTTGTGTGATTTGGTTGTCAGCACATTCAACTATGTAAATAAAGTATTTCAGAAGAATATTTAATTCATTCAGATCTAGGATGTGCTATTTTTGTGTTCCCTTTATTTTTTTGAGCAGTGTATATTTCTTTCTTTCATTGAGCTGCTTGTACGTAGCTATCTGTACATTTGTGTTAGGTTTGCAATACAGGTTTGTGGATGTATATTCCTTTGGTTGTCTCTAGTGCCAGTGGTGGATCCAGGGGGGGGGCAACGGGGCAATCCCCCGAGAAATTCCGACGGTCTCCCTCTCCTCTGCCAGCACATGCAGGCGCTAGACCTGCAATGTGCCTGTGGACCGGAGGGGAGATCAGAGATCTCCCTCCCCGGTCCGCAGGCACTGTGCTGAGAGCCGGCAGGGGAGGGAGACGGAGTAGAGAGGACCCGGGAATTCAGGCTGCAGGTCCTCCTCTCGCGAGATTTGGAGCGTTGCCGCGGTTACCACTGCAATGCTCCAAATCTCGCGAGAGTGAACTCTAGCCCTGGAGCTCAGGCTAGAGTTCACTCCAACCACTGGGACCACCAGGGAATGAAATATGTCCCCCCCTCCTTCCAGTAAAGGTAAGAAGGGAGGGGGGACATAGAATATTTATTTTAAAAAAACCCTACCCTTATCACACACATATACATTGCCCCCATACACTGCCGCCCCATACACACACATTGCCCACACTCACACATACACTGCAATACTCACACACACACTGCAACTGTTACACACACATACTGTCCCACACATACACTGCATTCCTGACATACACTGCCACCATCACACACACACTGTCCCTCACACACACACTGCACCCCTTACACATTGCACCACTCACACACACCACTGCTCCTATGCCCTACTACAGCCCCATTTCCCAGCAGACCTCAGGTAAGTTGTCAAACTGTTCTTAAAGGACCACTATAGTGCCAGGAAAACATACTCGTTTTCCTGGCACTATAGTGCCCTGAGGGTGCCCCCACCCTCAGGTTCCACCTCCCGCCCGGCTCTGGAAAGGGGAAAAGGGGTAAAACTTACCTTTTTCCAGCGCTGGGCGGGGAGCTCTCCTCCTCCAATCCTCCTCCTCGTCGGCTGAATGCGCATTCAGCCGGTCGCATAGGAAAGCATTATCAATCAAGCATTACGTAAGCGCCTCTAGCGGCTGTCAATGAGACAGCCACTAGAGGCTTCGGGGGAAGGATTAACCCATTTATAAACATAGCAGTTTCTCTTAAACTGCTATGTTTATAAAAAAATGGGTTAGCCCTAGCTGGACCTGGCACCCAGACCACTTCCTTAAGCTGAAGTGGTCTGGGTGCCTAGAGTGGTCCTTTTAAACGGTTTGACTACTTACTCTGGGAGGGGGTCCCGGCACTATTGATACCATAACCACTACACTGAGCTGTAGTGGTTATTTTGTCTGGATTATTTCTTTAAATAATCTACAAGTGCCCCTCCCGAGATCAGGCTCTGGATCCGCCACTGTCTAGTGCTGCATTTCGCATTAAGTTAAATAGTGTTTCAGTTGACTTATTTGGGGGCTGGTCGCTAGATCACGAAACATTGATTTTTTTTTTTTTTTGATTTTTTTTTTTTTTTTTGTGTTTAAAGAATGTTTATATAAAAGTTTTCAAAGAAAACCCGCACCTTGTGAGATATCGGACACTCTGTTACTGTGACTCCTTTTATTGCCCAAAAGTATGATGGGTCCAATAAATCAATCAGAGGAATCTGACATTGTCATGTCTGGGGATAGTTCAATCAGAGGAATCTGACAATGTCATGTCTGGGGATAGTTCAATCAGAGGAATCTGACATTGTCATGTCTGGGGATAACATTTTCTGGCCTTCCCGGTTTGTGAAATGCTGTGACTTCTGGTAAAATTACTGAGGGACTCACATTTTACAGATTTACCTTTTAATTCACACTTTGCAAAAATTTCACAAATAAACCAAAAATACAAATACTGAGAATTTTAAAAATCAAGACTGATAACTGAATTTATTGTGAGTTTTCATTTTGTTGTACTTGTGTAGAAATTATAAGCAAAATTGTGTTTTTTTGCTTTTGTTTGTTTTTTTCCTTTTTTCCTCTTTCCCCAGTTTTACAATTGTATTCATTTTTAATGTTGTGTTATGTTTAACTCTAGGGTATCAGAAAAGAATGCCCTATCTATCCTTTAGAAAGTATATATGTGGGTGCACTTAAACAGAAAGGGGTCAACTGTGGTGGAATGAGCACATGGCAAAAGTCCCAAATTCATTGTATCTCATAAAGATCGCCTTCTGTCAGGTAACAGATTTAGACTGTGCTACAAGTAGCCCCTTTATTTAAATGTTTCCCATTATACACTGGGACGACTCGGCTGCAGCAGCATAGTGGGCGTTCGTGGCATGCGTGTTACGGAATAACTGATATTAGGTATTTATATGCTATTTTGCTTTACTATTGATTTGATTAATCCACCAATCGTATTGTAGGCGGTGGAATAGAAATTCAAAGTCTACTCCACAGCATGTGGTCCATTAATTGTTCTTCAATCTATGGAAAGTGCGAGGGAATATCTTTGAGCCAATAGATGATATGCATATTATTATGGTGATTTAGAGTGCAGTTCAGTCTGTCTCTAACCCCAAGGTGTGCAAGTATACATACTAGTGATAGGAGTTTCCTGGGCAATACTTTTTTTTTTTTTTTTTGGTTGCCCTTGTCTTTCCAAGCAAGGAGCCACGTTCTGGCTCTCAATGCCCTTCCTTGCTTTCCGGACATGCAGAGATTGTGGGAAAGATAATGGAATGGAATTCTTGGTCAGGTGAGGAGAGCAGATAAGTCATAAAAGTACATTAAATCCACTCAAAGTACTGTCTTTATCTTCCCATGTGTGTAGGGTAGACGGCCTGCGAGGTAGGTTCTGGTGTGCCTGCTGAGCCCCATTCATACTCTGCACTGTGCACACATGGTAGATCTGGATTAGCTTTCTGTACCACGGAGATCTGACAGGTCTGAGGGTTGTATCGAGCTTCACACCATGAAGGAAAGTCAATTGGATGCTGAGTGCTGAGATCAGAAAAATGGATTAAAAAAGGGGGCATTTCAGCATTCTATACAAATTGCAGTTACTGTTGTCACTCTCCTTGTATAGACAGGCATGGTGAAGAAACAAGTGTAGAATGAACATTTACACTAAATCAATATCAGAGACATCATACTGCGGATTTAATAGAGTGCTGCTCTAAGTCCTCCTGGGATCTGCTCTATAGAACTGAACACAATACTCTAGGTGAGAGTACAATAAATATAAAAAAACAATATTGGAAAAAATCATCAAAATAGAAAATGATAGGTGTTACTCATTATTGCACTATGGAATATTGTCCTTTAATGTAATTTGTGTAGTGCATAGATAATCTGCTTGGAATATTGTCAAGGTCAGAAAGGTTTAATTTTATTGTATGACAGAAGGGGTAATGGAAATTGCATAGGAATGTGAAAAGGGTTTTATCATATGAATGTATCCTGTGATTACTCAAAGGCTCTGCAAGGTGTGAGATTCTACACTGGAAAAGCCTGAATGTCTGGCCCAGCCATGTGACTTTTACTTCTTAATTGATGGGTCAATCTCTTTGATATGTTAATGGCCATTAGCCTTGTTCCAATATCAGACCCAAAAGCAAAAAAAAAAATCATATTTACCCACAGAAAAATAATTAAGCCTCATTTTTGTTATATTTGGAATGTGACAAGCGCCATCTTTTTAATAAGCCCAAACATGATTGTCATAACTTAACTATAATGGAAGGAATTGTCATATCTGCCATTTTATAGAATGGGAAAATAATGATTATTTCTGTGGCAGGTACATAAGAGAAGATCGAACCAAATGTTTCCATTTGGATTGATGTTGGTCTGGAACACAGGCGTGGTAATCCACAGGGGGTATATATCCAATGATACTGAAATGTCTGGTGTGGCAATTGGCTTTTGGAGAGGCCTGCTTGCCAGCCTCTTGCCCTGTGACCATGGCCCCTGGGGTGTATTGCCTTTTAAAAACACTATTTGTGCATATTGGGACTTAGCACAATGCCCATTTCAAACATGTAGCGGCGGCCATCTTAAATTGTCCAGCAGTGTTTTGTTGTCGAGTGTATGGAACTGTTTTGGGCATGGGACCATGTGCACGGTGGGGCAAAAAGACTTCAATGGAAATTCCTGAACCAATCTGGGTGATTTTTGAATATGTTGTTCACTCAGATTGGGGCGATCAGGGGATGTGACTTTTTTTGTGGGGATATGTTGTATTTTGGGGTTTGTAAAAATTTGTTTTTTGTTTGTTTTTCTGCTTAGAGTTAATTGAGTTAGTCCATTGTCTTCGTTAATTATATCACAGACAGAGCGGAGGGATTGTGTACACTGTCACTGAATGTAAAGCTATGTTTTTATTGGCTTGTTGTTCCTGTGCCCCACAAGGTCCACCAGGGTGGTAACCTTGTGGGGAAAACTGTATAAAAGACCAAGCTGTTCAATAAACCCTCAGAGCTGGAACTTGTGATTAAAACCTCAGTTGACTCCCAGAACTGTTTCGTCTGGTTGCTGGGGGATTTGGGATATTGCCTTCATTCAGCGCTTTTCTTGGATTACCCTCAACATAGAGCCTTGTCTCGTGTGGGGGGGATTGCTATATCACTATACTCGCCAGGGATTATAATGACTAAGCTCTTTTAAGAGCTTGTTCCTGCTTCTCTCTTGGAGGAGAGGTTCACCCACTGGAATCTGGAGCCTTGTCGTAGGTCCAGGGTGGGTAGAGGACGGCACGTTTCCAGCCAAGCTGCGGCGGTCGTGGGATCTGCAGTGCTTATGGTGTCTGGTGCGGTGCTGATGGTCCTTGGTAAGCACTAGGAGCATCGATTGACGGAGTGTCCGTCACATATGGGTACTTGCTTGGAGATAGATTCTAATTCTAAGTGAGTCACCATCCTTCCTACCAGAGACCCCCTTGGGCAGAAGTATTTACTTTAAAGAGTAAGTGATTAGGACTTTCTTTTTTTTTTTTTTGGCATTCTTCATTTTATGTTATTAAATCACAACATGTATATCCGTTACAATTTAACAGGTTATCACAAATAAACGGGTCAGATATGTGTATAACAGCATTGAGATGGTTTCAGCAACCTACTGATAGGCTGTGTTCGTATTTTTAGCTTCGACAAAACAATAAGCATACTTGTGTGTTGTGTTGTGTCGTTAGCCTTGTAATGGGCTAGTCCACTGTGTGTTTGAGAGTGTATGGGGTTTGCGGTTAATCCGCAAGGTTCCTGCGTGCTATCAAATAGCCTGTTTCAACCGCTCTGGGTTGTGATCTGACCCTTGGAGGGCACCGTCAGGGGCTCTGATTGAGGGTTCCAATCTGGTTAGTGTCTGAGCTGTGTGTTGGTTCAGGTCGTATTGGGCCTGGTGTGGATGTGTTCAGTCCTAAATCATGTGGGGGCCCATTGTGTTGCCCCTGGAACCGTGAGATCACCCCCTGTTCTCCCTGGGCAGATCTGATTTGGGGTCTCTAGGAATAGTTGTCCTTGAGTCGTCCGCGGACGTAGCTAGAGTGTGTGGTGTTGTCCTGCAGTGTCTTATTATGTAGGTGCGCGGCGTGTGGGGTCTGTGTTAGTCGTCGCGTCGTCACCTCAGGTCATTGGTTTGTGTCACTCGTGTTCGTATCAATCCTGGGGCCTTATTACGTTCCCCGTTGATCATCTGGTAGACCTTGTCTGGGTTGTTATATTATGTCCCAGATCCAACTGGACGTGGTGTAGGTGGGGTTTTGTCTGCCAACTGCGGGAGTCCTGGTTGTTATATGTCGTGGTCTGAACTGGGATCTACTGGCTTGAGTTGTGGTGTTGTGCGTCTGAGGTGGAGGTGGGTCCATGCCCCCTGTACCTCGGTCGCCCTCTTCCCTCCTCCCCTAGGTGTGTCGGTCCGTATGTCGCTTTAGTGGTTTGCTCCCCCTCTCCCCCCCAGTATCCCGTGGTCCGCGGCCCCCCTTTTCGGTGCCTGCCTACTCACTGATTCCGCCTCGAGCGGAGACATAAGTTAGTTTGTGTGCCTCCGGGGGTTGAGTCTCCCTGGGTCTTTTGCGGGTCCACGTGTCATGTAGTAGGAGGGGAATGAGGGGGGGGGTGCGTAGGAAGTGTGTCTCTGTCGTGTAGGGGGTGGAATCTACTCATCTGGTACTTCCTGTGTCTGCGCAGTATTCTGTCGGGGGGATTGAATTGGTGCGGGGGCGCCGTCCATCTCCACCGGGCCTCCTCTTTCCGCCCAGGACTTTCTGTTATTTTATCCCTTTTGTTTTTATCTGTTGTTGGTGAGAATAATTTGCTTGTCATCTATATTTTTGTATGCACTGTGACTATTTTTTGCTCATAATAAATATTACTTTATTAAGTTCTGCCTTAAGAGACAAACTAGTATTTTTGCAATTCCTTAAATATTGTGCAAAGTTATAGTTTGTGGGTTTTTATTATTGATTTACCTGTGGGACCAAGGCACCCCATTTATAAATTGTCTTGGTGGTGTTGAGGGCGATTTTGTCATTATTTCCGGTCTAGTTCACAAATAGTGAACTTTAACCCTTTCACCACCACAACTACGTCACGCACACTCTTGAAGTAGAGTGCATTTGTGACAATAGGGATTTATAAAATGCGGTGGTTATAAATCTCTGTGCCTATACTCACATATCACAGCAGCCAACTCCCACCGGATGGAGGCAAGTACAGAGCTGACAGTTGTTGGCGAGCCAGGACTCTCCCAAGCCAAAGCTTCGTCCTGCGTATTGACATGATGCTGGAGAGAGAGGTGGATACCATTTCACACTCTTTAATATTTTATACTGGCTACACAGGTCACTGCAATTTACCAAACCTTAGTACATCTAACGGACATTTTGAGAGATATTCTAAAACCATCACTCAGAGAATGTAATCCCACCAGCTTCCATGCAAACATTGATTCTCTTCATGTAGAGCGTGTGCCTGATGTTCAGCTGCCGGAGACCATAGACTGTTCTGAAACATCCTCTTTTATAGGCATATACGAAAACGACGATATTCCCCGTATTAACCCTCCGCTCAAAGCTCTCACACACCGTGGCAACAGAAATGGAAACTTAATGTGGTGTCTGCTGGGTCAGGGCAGGAAGCAAAACAAGTTCTTTATATTATATTGCACCCCTATAGGAGTACAACAAACAAACAGGCTACCTTGTTTGTGCACTTCCCCAAATCCCTGTGCATATTTACATAACTGGAGCATTTATGTTTCACTCCAATGGCCATTAGATGTTAGTCCACCAGCTACGTTAAGACAAACCTCTTAGGTGGGTCCTACATTAACAATTCACCGTGCTTCCTTCAGCATCAGGTAAATAAATCTCTAATGAGACAGAGAAGGGTATTTTATTTTGAAACCCCTACATACTTATTAAACCTTAATAGGGAACACATGGGATGGGCGGCAGCACTGTAACATGGCTGTGTGATACAAATATACTAAAACTCCCACTACTCCTGGACAGCAGCAACGACCATAGCACACACCAGCCCCAATAAATACAATAGAAACCAAAGAAAAATAGTTACCTAAAATGTCGTATCAGAACCAAATACTGGATTAAAAAGTTCCTTCGTCAATATTTGGAACCCCCTCACATTTATACAGAAACGTGTATGCTATATGACCAGCCCCCCATGATTATATAGAAACATGCGTGTTACATGACCATCCCCCCCCACAATGACATAGTGACAGTGGCATACTAAGGGGGGGGACAGTCCGCCCCAGGTGCCACCAAGTAGGGCTCACACATGGCCGGGTGACAGGAGTGCAGGGGAGCTAGAGCAGGTAAGGGGGGGGGAGCTAGAGCAGGTAAGGGGGGGGAGCTAGAGCAGGTAAGGGGGGGAGCTAGAGCAGGTAAGGGGGGGGTGGGAGCTAGAGCAGGTGCTCAGGTGGAGGATGTCATTATTCTCCAGCCGGGTCTATGAAAAAAAAATCGTGGGGCGGAGCTTATCGTGAGGTGGGGCTAAAATGGCAGCGGCCAGAAGCCCCTGGTAACTGCTGCACAGGAAGTAGGAAGGAGTCCCTGCCTCCCCACTAACTTGACTACAGGAACTGCACTGCTTCCACTCCCCTCTTCCAGTCATAAGGGAAAGAGGTAATTGCCTGCCTGTCTGTCTGTCTGTCTTTGTGGCTTTCTGCCTGTGTGTGTGTGTGTGTGTGTGTGTGTCTGCCTGTTACTGAGTGTGTGTGTGTGTGTGTCTGCCTGTTACTGTGTGTGTGTGTGTGTCTGCCTGTTACTGAGTGTGTGTGTGTGTGTCTGCCTGTTACTAAGTGTGTGTGTGTGTCTGCCTGTTCCCGTGTGTCTGCCTTTTATGGAGAGTGTGTGTGTGTGTGTATGTGAGTGTCTGCCTGTTACTGATTGTGTGTGTCTGCCTGTTACTGTGTGTGTGTGTATGTGTGTGTGTGTGTCTGCCTGTTACTGAGTGTGTGTGTGTGTGTCTGCCTGTTACTAAGTGTGTGTGTGTGTCTGCCTGTTCCCGTGTGTCTGCCTTTTACGGAGAGTGTGTGTGTGTGTAACTGTGTGTGACTCTCTGCCTATAACTGAGCATGTGGGACTGTCTGCCTGTAACTGCATATGAGGGGTGCAGGGATTTTGTATTGGGAAAGGGGTCTTGTATAAAGGGGCTCAGCAGAGAATTGGAAGGTGAATGCAGGGATTTTGTAGGAGGGGCACTACATGGGTTTTGTAGGAAAGGGGCAGGACAGGGCTTTTGTAGAAGGGGGCTTTACAAAGTTTACAAATTTGTGCAATACAGTTAACAAAAAAGAAAATGTTTTAGGTACGTTCCTGCATAGTGACATGCATGTTACATGACAAACCCCCCCCCCCTCCCCATGATAGAAACGTGTGTTACATCCTCCCACGTTTTATATAAAAACAAGACCATTTCTTCTCACATTTACGTTACATGACCATTGCCACCTACACTTACATAGAAATATGTGATCTGTTACCATTTACCCTCACACTTACACATAAACATGTTACATGACCATTCACCTTCATGCTTACATAGACACGTGTTCCATGACAATGTTACCTTTCCCATTAACACACTGAATCATGCATGTTGCACAACCATTCTCTCTTACATTTATCTAGAAACGTATGTTTCATGAACATCCCCCTCACATTGAAATAGAAACGTTTATAACATGTCCATTCAAACTCACATTGATACGTACATGTTCCATCACCCTTCCATTTATGCTTAGAAATATAAATATGTGTTATACAACCATTTGCAGTCACACTTACATAAAAACATGTCTTATATGACAACTCTCCCCATGCCTACATAGATACATGCATATTACATGACCATTATACCTCACACATCGAAACACGCATATTACATTGATTTTTGCCCTCATGCTTACACAGAAACTTGGTGAAACACTCCTACTACATAATAATTTATCTTACATGACCATCCCCCCACAATTATATCGAAACATGTGTGTTCCATGACCATGTCCTCACGTTATCATAGAAACCTGCATGTTACATGACCATGTCCTCACGTTTACATAGAAACATGCATGTTACATGCCCATGTCCTCACCTTTACACAGAAACATGCGTGTTACATGACCATGTCCTCACCTTTACACAGAAACATGCGTGTTACATGACCATGTCCTCACCTTTACATAGAAACATGCGTGTTACATGACCATGTCCTCACCTTTACACAGAAACATGCGTGTTACATGACCATATCCTCACCTTTACATAGGAACGTGTGTTACATGACCATGCCCCCCCATGCTTACATACTGTGTGTTACATGCCTATTCTCTCTCAAGCTTATACGAATGAACATTTGCACACCATATTTGCTACTTACCTCGAGCCTGGAAATAACAGCGCCCCTCACAGGTGGGGAAAAATATGGCCAGCAAGATAACTAGCAGGTGTCCAGGAAGAGATGGCATCTTCACTGCTGATCTGAGGGAGCTTTTTCTCTCCTTGTCCTGACTACCTGTGTGACTCTCAATCCTTCCTTCTAGCTGTCTAATCTTTGTGCCTCTCTCTCTCTCAGTGTCTCCTTTGTTTCAAGTCAGGGGTTACACAAAGTCACTTCTCACAGTACTATTCCAGCTATGTGTACACAAACTGTCTCTCTGAATGTATGTCTCTTTAACACTTCTTTGCATCCCCCTAAACCTATCTGTCCCAGCCTGGATCTGTGTCAGTCACTGTATCTGTGTCAGTCACTCTGTTTGTTCTGTCTGTCCCTGTATCTGTGCCAGTCACTGTATGGTCTCTGTGGTTCCCCGTATCTGTGTCAGTCACTGTCTGTTTGGTTTATGCCAGTTTCTGTATCTCTGATGTCTCGATCTCTCTACCTCTGGCAGTCTGTCTGATCTCTGTGTCTGTCAGTGTCTCTCTGTCTCTGACAGTCCTTGTCTCTCTGAGGTCTATGTCAGTGTCTACCCTCTGTCTCTGACAGTCCTTTTCTCTCTGAGGTCTATGTCAGTGTCTACCCTCTGTCTCTGACAGTCCTTTTCTCTCTGAGGTCTATGTCAGTGTCTACCCTCTGTCTCTGACAGTCCTTGTCTCTCTGAGGTCTATGTCAGTGTCTACCCTCTGTCTCTGACAGTCCTTGTCTCTCTGAGGTCTATGTCAGTGTCTACCCTCTGTCTCTGACAGTCCTTGTCTCTCTGGGGTCTATGTCAGTGTCTACCCTCTGTCTCTGACAGTCCTTGTCTCTCTGATCTCTGTATCTCTATTTGTCTGCGTATCTCTAACACTCTGCCTCTGTATCTCTTTCCTGCTTCACATATTTATATCTTTTTGGAAGTGTTTTGGGGCCAAAATCTGGAAATCCTATAAAACTCATTTCCTGGTTTAAAATGCTGGAAAACAGGTTTCTGGATGAAGGGTTCTTTTTTTGTTTTTAACAAGGTGTGAAAATGTGATTCAGTGCCCCTATGAGGGGGTCCGTCCCAGGGCTGCCTGCCAGTTCTCATGTCCTATCATTTGCAGAGAGCAGGTGGCACTTTAGATTATTCCAAGGATCTATCAAGCTCACTGCGAGGCAGTATAATAAAAAATAAAACCTTACCTAACAGCCCTTAGGTGGAGTATTAACCTCTGCACTATCTGGCTAGCTAAATACAGTCCCCTGAAACATCCACGTCGCTTTATAAAAAAAAAAAAAAAAAAACTTACTTACTATTCAATTCTTTATTTTAAAAAGAACAGTTATTAGCATTTATTCTGAACGGACACGGTTACCTCAGCAGTGCTTCCACATTGACGGTGAAATCATCTGCGAGACATGCTGTAGATGATGTCACGGTGTACGTGGGTCAATCCCTAAAATGGTGCAATAAGTGGACATGTAGCACCCAGGGCATTAATTACAAAGTAAATAAAAAAAAAAAAATAAATAAATGAAAATCTGCAACCCCCCCCAGCTAAGTTTTAACTTACAGATTTTGACAGTGCTGATTAAACACTAGAAAATGGAAAAACCGAGAGCCAAAGAAAGCAAAAGTGTTTGAAGCACATTCTAAAAACCTCAACAATGAAAGTGAAGGTACACTGAAATCAGAGATAAATGTGTTAGTAAATGAAGATCGGTAAAAGGCAGACATTTTAAATAATAGATATGCAAATGATTGCTGCAAAAAACTTACAGAAAAATTGTGATCAGATGACTCAAGACAAGGTGCTGCAGCAACTAAAGAAAGTTAATGTAAATAAAGCTTCAGAGCCTGATGGTATTCACCCACGAGTACTTAAGACGCTAAGTGTGGAAATAAGTGAATCTCTATATTTAATCTTTCAAGATTTTTTTTTTTTTCAGAATTTGCACCGGAGGATTGGAGGAACACAGATGTAGTTCCTAATCCTTGCCTGGAAATTATAGACATGTGAGCTTAATATCTGTGACTAGAAAAGTATATATATATATATATATATATATATATATATATATATTTTTTTTTAAGGGATAATATTCAGGAATTCATTGTGGCTTAAAAATAGAGTACAGAGAGTTGTCATTAATGCTACATTTTCAAAATGGACAGAAGTGGTAAGTGGTGCCCCTCAGGGTTCTGTTCTGGGACCGCTTCTATTTAACATATTTATGAATGATCTTGAAATAGGCATTGAAAGCCATGTTTTAGTGTTTGCAGGTGATGCAAAACTCTGTAAAGTAATAAAATGTGAGCTTCAGGGTTAAAGGACCACTATAGTGCCAGGAAAACATACTCGTTTTCCTGGCACTATAGTGCCCTGAGGGTGCCCCCACCCTCAGGGTCCCCCTCCCGCCCGGCTCTGGAAGGGGGAAAGGGGTAATAACTTACCTTTTTCCAGCGCTGGGCGGAGAGCTCTCCTCCTTCTCTCCGCCTCCGATCCGCCCCGCCGGCTGAATGCGCACGCGCGGCAAGAGCTGCGCGCGCATTCAGCCCGTTGCATAGGAAAGCATTTACAATGCTTTCCTATGGACGCTTGCGTGCTCTCACTGTGAAAATCACAGTGAGAAGCACGCAAGCGCCTCTAGTGGCTGTCAATGAGACAGCCACTAGAGGATTAGGGGGAAGGCTTAGCCCATTCATAATTATAGCAGTTTCTCTGAAACTGCTATAATTATGAAAAAATGGGTTAACCCTAGAAGGACCTGGCACCCAGACCACTTCATTAAGCTGAAGTGGTCTGGGTGCCTAGAGTGGTCCTTTAAGCATGCCCAAGCAACTTACACCCTAAATGGTAGTGAATTGTAGATTATGCTAGCTTTAGTGTACCTATAACCTTAATTTAATTAATGAAAGGAAGATCATCAGATCATTCCAGAGACTCCATCCTCTTGGAACATTTCGCAGGCTCCTTGCCCTTCTAGACACTGGGTTCTAGGTCATCCCCTTTCCAGTAGCTATTCTGTGGCAGTGACTGCCCTCTCATGGAGGATTCTGAGTCTGTGGATCCTCCACTGAGTGGGGGACCACCGGTGATCCCTTGTGTGGTGAAAGTAACCTCGCCACTGGGTCCTGCCTCAGGACTATGGGCCATGCAAAAAGGCTCATAAAAGACAGCGTTTGTGCCTTTTTGCTATTCTGTATGGTAGATTGCATTCCCCTCCTTTTCTAACATTATCCAGTTCGACTACCGAACAACCACACGAACCAGGGACCACCCGGGAGCTTGTTAACACCTATTAACAACTTGGAATGGTTCTCCCTAATTGTTCGGCTGAGTGGCCGAAATTCCTATGGACAACCATGAAGTGGCGGCCATCTTGTTCGCATGAATCTCATGGAACTTAAATCGGATACAGAAACTCCGAAACACTGCTGGACTTCCATCATTGCCTGCGTTCGGTTCTAAATAATTTATAAGGGCACTGTTCGGTGAAATAGTTTGTCTGGATGAGGGGAACAAGCTCCAGGGTAAAAACATTGACTATGGTCGGTAGTTTGTTTGTTTTCCAAACTACCGAACTAGACCGACCGCAAGCCCTGATTCTCTGGAACTGTTTGGGCATGGGACCATGTGTACGGTCGGTCAAATAAATGACTTTCAGGAAATTCCTGAACCCCTCAACTGATCTGGGTGATTTTTGGATATGTTAGTCACCCAGGTGAGGGCAATCAGGGGATGTAACATTGTGGGGTGTTATGTATTTTTAAGGTATTTTGAGAGTTTTATAAAAGTGTGTGTATTTGTGTCTGGAGATAATTGAGTTAATACAGTACAGTACAGACTCAATTATCTCCCCGGTACAGAGGAGGGATTGACCTATTATGTGTGGGAGTGCCCTGGATCTGAGAGCCAATGTGATTATGTATTTGTTTCTACTGTGTTTTACTCTCAGGTCCAGGGGGAGTGCCCCTTGCATGGGCACATGCATATAAGGCCAGTTGTGGCTGCCATTAAACGAGTTCCTGCATACTCTATACATAGAGCCTCATCTCATGTGTGGGGGAAACTGCTGTATCTACCATGGGAAATGCTATATCACTATACTACTCTGGGTTATAAGCAATCAGGAAGCTGTATGTAAATGAGGGGCTCACCTGCCAGTAAGATATATGGTGACATGTATAGGTCTGTTACCATAGAAAACTCATACAGTGGGTTACCAAGTGGGGTATCGCAAACCTCTATTAATGAAACAATATGTGATAAAACACAAGTTGGACCAGATCTGGGGCCTGGGGACACATGAACCCAGGGACAGACCAGGAATAATCTACACCGAGGCTTCCAGTGCGATTTGTATTGCGAGGAGACTGAGTGAAGGCAAAAAGAGGGGGCACTCCTGCCGAGGTAAATCGTCAACTCGCAGGGTAAGCAGGAACTAGCGTGGTAGTTGGAAGATGGTATCCAATTCATGGAATTATGGGAAGATTGTATTTGTCAGGTATATTTTGTATGAAACCCAGAATGCAGTGCTTATACTTGCTGTCTGGGATGAAGTCTTTGAGGGGATCTGAGATATTCAAGGTATTATATGGTGATCTGTATATATGACCTATTATGATTAAAGGATTCGGGGTACCCTCCAGTAGATGTCTCCACTCTTCCAGAGGACTCTTGATGGCTAGGAGTTCTTTATCTAGTTTGCTTGGGCAGGACTTAATCCTTTTGGAATAAAAAGCAACTGGACGTAGATGGTCGTCCTTTTTCACCCCGTTGTGATAATACAGCCCCAGTGGCGATTTCCAAAGCATCGACCTCTAAGTAGTAGGGTTTTGTAGGATCAGAAAACGTAAGGATGGTGTGACGAGAGCAATCTCGCCACATTGCATTGGAGAAGCCTGGTTGCTCGCCTGTTGCCTTTGGATTATGGCCCCATGTTAAAAGGCTCAATTTTCCCCTGCAAAGACAAGAAAGCCGGGTCATTTGGTGCTTGCCCTGTTTGAGCAGTGAAACCCCAGATAGCTATGCCATGGAGCCCATTCGTATAATGAAAGGCTATGGG